CCAAATTACAAAGAAGTATAAAAAGTTTGCTTCAAATGAGGTTTATGCTCACACACCTTCTGTTGAATTTCTCCTGACATTACTCTTGCATATTTAGGACACAAACATTAGCAACAGTAACTTGGCTACGTTAGCCGCTGTGCTACAGCCACAATCAACTGGCTATTACGTCAGGGTGGCTTATGCAGTAAAGCAACTTACAGCTTCTGCGTCTGTGAGTCACGGACAGTCGTGACTGATCCAGGCTTTATCTTCAGATATTTTACAAAGCCTGCGTTTGAGGCCAGTTGTTAGTGCTAACTATCGTTAGTGGTCCTGCTAGCCACCTGTAACACGTTAGCTTCACTTACATTATTTACTGTTATATTGTTACTTACAGCTTGTGGCTTCGAGCGCTTGATCGATGCAACTGCTCCAGGTTTCAGAAGCAGCTGAAACGCTTATCCTGTGTCAAATTATCCTTTATTGACAAAGCTGTCTTTGGTGAAATGCTGAGCACAAACAGAGCACGTTCCTTTTGGCCGTGGCTGTTTGCTGCCTGCAAACAAAAAAGAGCTACCCACTGATTTCTGGTGGCATCGTCTTTTGGAAGAGAAGTAGTTGCTTTTCTTCGCGTCCAAAAGTAAACGGACAAGCAGCTTTGGGAGAGATACTGACAAAACTGCACCTCAAGTGATCTGCGGTTCTTCTTTTGTATTTCCAAAAGTGTAGACGCTACTAAGGCATAGTATGATCCGCGGTTGTTTGTGCCTGCTAGAATAGTTTCCGGTGTGGGCAGGTCCAGCGCCGTGATTGGCTCTGGCTAGGTATGTATTAATTGGACGGCACAACCTGACGTCAAGTTTTGCCCAGATCTCGTGAAGATCTCGGGACGAGCTGTTCAGAGAAGAAATCACGTTCACGAAATTGCATTCTTGGATTACAGCAAAACCCCTGTATCTTCTGTTTAGAAACTTTTCAGAGGTTGAGTATGGACATCCAGCATTACTTATATGTATTAAAAGAAGGATCAGCATAATATGTCCCCTTTAAGGTTGAGAGTTGTTAAAGTGTGATATTTGCATTTGGAATCTGTTGCAATTAACTTTAAATGTGAAGTCCTGAGAGTTGCCACTGATAAAAGTTGAAACAAAACCATTAGAGAAATAGCTAAAACTTTAGGTGTGGCCAACCAGTATAGAATGCACTCTTCAAAAAAAGAATACACCCATGAGTTCAGAAACTCTAAAAGGCCTGGAAGAGTATGGCAATGCCTGTGGTGGATGACAGAATAATTCTTTCTCAACTGAAGGAAGACCCCATAACAACAGTTGGCCAGATTTTGAATACTCTTTGGGAGGAAGGTATTTCTGTTTTAATGTCAAAAATCTCAAGAATAATTTGCCAGAGCATATATATTGGGGTTACTGCATGAAGTCAACAGTAAATAAGCTTCAGAATCCAGTCCCCCCCAAAAAAAAAAAACACATCTATACATTACAACTCTGGAGCAGCATCCTAAAGAGAGATGAGATAAAGATCATCAGCTGCAAAAAGAGGGGGGAAAGTACAGTGTATTGAGAGGGCAATTAATTGCTCATCACATTGAGGCTTACCATCTTATCTGTGCAGCATGGTTACATGTGGGAATGTATGGCTGCCAATGCAAATGTTTCCCTTCAATCCATTTAAGATGTGACTGTAAACAATTGCAACTGAATGAACTAATTTGTATTGGGCTGTATCATCTGCTCATATTCAGCCAAATACAAAAAAAATCTCATTAAAAAGTGCTCCACAGTGCAGCTAGATAAAGACCAGTAGAATTTTCTTCAAGCAGATCTAGACTTATTAATTTCAAATCCACTGTGGTGGCATTCAAAGCCAATCACTATACAAATATTTATGGATCTGACTGTGTATCTCATTTATGGATGTTAATTTCACCCATAACATGTTGAGTGGTTCATCAGAAAGAACTTAGGTGTCCCTGTTCTGAAGCGTTTGCAGTCTTTTAGGTGATTTAAAGTTATGTAGAATGTGTGAAAAGCATGCATTAAAGGTCTCCTCCATTTCATGGAGAGAAAAGGAGGACGAGAATGGCAAAAGAGGTGGTAACAAGGGATGCACAGAAACAGATGAAGAGAGTGGGAGAGAGCGGGAGGGAATGAGGGGGTGCGGTGGAAGGCAAGACCTTATACTTGAAAAAGGCCCACTTATCGTCTCCTCCCATACCTCAGATGGGAGAAGGAGATGATTGGAGGACAGGAGGACACACTTCCAAATACTGTGATGAACCCAGAGAGATTAGGCAGTTAAGAGCCAAGCACTTTAGAACTTACCATCTCTCAGCCTTTCCACTGAAAACTGAATTACTCCACTTGCCTCAAGTGTACCTTCTCAATCTCCACCCGCCTTCCTTCCTCCTCCTCACATGTAAATAAATGAGTAGAAGCTACAAGCACCTCTGTTTCCACTATACGTCAAGCATTAGGGAGGTACGCTCTTCGGTTGTGGCTCCTTCAGCCGGGAAGATGTTAGTGCATTAAGTCATCCCCGCGCATTAGCCGGCGTGAGAAGTAAGCCTTGCCCCTGCGCTGTCTCCCGACACCATCAATAAATGAAAAAAGAAGCTCTTTCAGTCTGTTCCCCCCCAGCTGAGACTCTCCAAACAAATGGCATGAAGGGTTCGTGTTACATCACGCGCAATCAGCGACGGCAAGCATCTCCCGTCCCGCTAACCGTGGGCCTCCAGCCTCTTCGCACACAGCGGTCTTCCACCCTTAAGCACGTAATTGATATTTCCTGATCCCCGCGCATCTGGTTTCCAAGGGAACCAGGGCGCGATGAGACTGTGGGGGATGTGGGGTGCGGTGCAGGCGGGGTGGGGGCTGCCTGATGAAAGCCAGCACTCGGTGATTTCAATTAAAGAGCAACCTTAGCAAAGGGAAGTTTATTTTGACAAATGCCTGGCCAGCATGTTGGTAATTTGGTACCTGTGGCATGTTATCACTCTAGAGAAGAAAACGGAACCTGAAATATGCTACACTGTCAACATGTCAAAACTGAATATTTTTTTGCTCATACACTGTTCAGACATTTTTCTTCCACTTATCTCACTTTCAGCATTTTCAATTGAGGCTAGAATGCACCAGCTTATGTGCATTGTAATATCATGGCCATTATATCAAGGGCGTAGGTTTGTATATGGAAGGTAGGATCATGTCCCTACCAATTTTTTGGTAAGCCAGATTGTCCCTACCAATATTTCAGCTAACTTGTTCTTATCGTCTTTCCAGATAAGCCACATTAGACCCAGTTGTGGAGGCTATGTCTCCAAGACAACTTATTTACACATTCTATCATTTGACTGGTTGAACGGGCGGGGCTATCTGAAGGCTAAAAGTCAAGAGTAAACTGACCATGCTTATCAAGTCATGAATATTCATCTTTGTCCAAAGCGGGGCTTGAGACGCGCAACTGGATCGCCAGCTTTGATTACATGTGTTTGCAATGGCTTACCCGTAAAAGAGAACCGTAATTTGGCATTTGTTCCAGATTTTTCTTCATCTCGTAACTATAGCACTTTTCCCATGCCCCAACTCTTGACATACATTGATATTACCTTAGGTACATATCACTTTTGTGGAAATTTCATTGTCTGAGAGCGTGAGGGAAAAAAAAGTCGTTCCATGTTAAGTCATGCTGCTAATATTTTGCCAAACTGAATGCCAAGTGTAATGTTGGTTGAATAAGTGATCTAACTGGTCAGAAACAGATAGTTACTTAAAGTGAAAACTTGCTAGCTACTTTAAGTTAGTTTTTACCGGAAAATAATGTCAACGAATGTTAATTAAACGTTTGCTAGTTTCAACTAGCGGACTAAACCTGGTTTTTGTCACATGTTGGTTAGTAATCGGGTTGCTAGCAGTAGTAAATATAACCAGGTTTACATGTCAAATTATGAGGTGAATTTCAGTGGAGAAATCCCGCAAAGGTGCCATTATTAATTAATTATTTTATATGCAGTAACCACAGCAGCAAGCTAGAGAAACAGAGCAAGCTGCTGAGGATACAGGTGTATCAGGGCCTCAGGTGAGGTCAAATTGAGACTTGTTCTGTGGAATTATAGGGAAAGCATTAAAGTTAGTCTCATGATGTTCAGCAAATATAACCTTTGAAAGTCAAAATGTCCCAACCAACTTTGGCTCAGTGGGGGAAATGAAAGAAACACGTAATCATAAATCTAACATGATCCAGTCCGATTAACGCTCGGTTTGCGGCTTGTCCAATTCATAGTCGGTGGTCCATTTTGAGGTGTTTATTGCGGCTGCAATTGCGTTACCGCATATTAAGGTGCTCAACAGAGAGGACTGCGAGCTGGCTTGCTAACATAGTTATATATCGACTCACTTGGTATCAATGTCCAGGTTACTAGATCTGAGCGAGTTTGATGAGTGCGCTGAGATGGTTTGCAGCTGTCAGTTAAGGTTGTGGCAAGTTTATGTATGTGGCATCTTTGTATGAAAATTTTGGAGGCACCTTGCGTAGCATAATTTAAAAAAAATGGAGAAACACTCATTGGGATAATCTCTGTATACATTAAAGGCAGTATCTGCACTCAGATTAACAAAAATTTTCCGGCTCATGCGCTACGTGTACTCGCATCACATATGTGTCCCTACCAATTCTCACATTAAACCTATGCCCTTGCATGATATCACCACTGATTGTTCCCTTCAAGCACTTCTGATTGCCCTTCAGGTATTCGTAAGAGAGAGAGAGAAACACTTTATTGAACCCCGTGGGGTAATCTGTCCTCTGCATTTGACCCATCCTATAGTTAGGAGCAGTGGGCAGCCACAGAGCAGCGCCCGGGGACCAACTCCAGTTCTAAAGCCAGTTCCAGGTGTACCAGCAGGAGTGTTCCTATAATGCATGTTTTTGTGGGTGTGGGAAACCAGAGCACCCGGATGAAACCCATGCGAACACGGGGAGAACATGCAAACTCCACACAGAAAGGCCCCAGGCTGGAATCAAACCCACGACCCACGACCTTGTTGCTGTGAGGCGACAGTGCTAACCACTATGCCACCGTGCCGCCCAAATGTGCATTTCATGTGCATTTCGCGTGTCAATCTAGCACAGTCTATAAGGAATGTTGGAAATATGCAGCTGAGCATGTTTGCATTGTCTTCAATACGTGATTGCCCAGTGCTACATGCTGGCGTTATTTCACATCACTGTGTCCATTCTCTGTCAACAGTGAAGAGGCAGCAGTTTATTGTTCAAATGCAAGAAGCAATGACTGAGATGACTGTGGGTCGATGAACACCCTACTCTGCCATTTTTAGTCACTTTGCAGATTACCCGTATGATCTCAGCAAATGGCTCAAGTGCTTGTCAGTCATTGAGACCACTTTGGATGTCATAACCTTGGTGTGAGTGCACTTTACAACAGTAATTTTTTTATATATATATAGTATACAGCGAGTGAAAGCACTTTGACCATAATGCCAACAAAACTGTGCTGTCATCTCTCAGGATATAAGATGCCAGAATGGAAATGAACATTGAATAGAGATGAAATGCATTTCAGAAAAGCACACAATTTACCATGAAATCTCACCGAAACAGTCTATGTTTCGTGCCGTGGTGATCCGAGGAAAGATTTACAGTGTAATGTAAGGCCTTTTGAGCCTTTCCGACAAGGCAGATAACTTTCCCCTTCAACTCCTTGGCCATTAATACTTAATGACCATAACGCGGTTGAATTAAGAATGTATGCAGGAGAGAGATCAGGTTCAAGGATGGGAGTCCATAGGTCCACAGCTATTGTGTATGAAACTTCACTCATGCACAACTTTGATGCAACGAGTATATTTTACCGATTTGAAAAGGCCCTCAGCACAGCTATCCAAAGGGATGGCAGGAGCTCATGTACAGATAAGTGAGTGAGTTAATAAAAGAAAATAATCAAACAAAAAACCCAGTTTGGTTGCCTTTCGTTTGGTTGCATAAGTAGTCAGCATTGTTGTCTAATGGACTATGCAGCAAGCCAGCAATTCATCAGGTTCAGTTCCAGGGTGGCACACTGCCTTTGTTTACTTTAGTAAAGAGCTGAACCTGAATGCTTGACCAAATACCCAGTAAACACTGAAAATAAGCAAACAAATCAAAAAAGCATTTGCAAATAGCTCTTCCAAGAGGTGGTTTGTCCAGCATGCTTCTTCTGTACTGACAAGAGTCCAGGCATCTGATTGAGCCCTGTCCCTGAGTCCAGGCATCTGATTGAGTCCTGTCTCTGAGTCCAGCCATCTGACTGAGCCCTGTCCCTGAGTCCAGGAATCTGATCGAGTCCTGTCCCTGAGTCCAGGCATCTGACTGAGCCCTGTCCCTGAGTCCAGGAATCTGATCGAGTCCTGTCCCTGAGTCCAGGCATCTGATTGAGTCCTGTCCCTGAGTCCAGGCATCTGATCGAGTCCTGTCTCTGAGTCCAGGCATCTGACTGAGTCCTGTCCCTGAGTCCAAACATCTGACTGAACCCTGTCCCTGAGTCCAGGCATCTGATTGAGTCCTACCCCTGAATCTAGGGATCTGATTGAGGCCTGCCCTGCATTCAGGCTTCTGATTGAGTGTTTGTCCCTGCACCTAGCCATCTAATCGGGTCCTGTCCCTGACTCCAGGCTTCTGATTGAGTCCTGTCCCTGACTCCAGGCCTCTGATTGAGTCCTGCCTTTAACTCCAAGCATCTCATTAAGTTCTGCTTGTGATTCCAGGGATCTGCCTATGACTCCAGGGATCATTCTGAGTTCTGCCACTGGTCCTGTCTGCCTGCTGGCAATAGTGAGCTGTTTATACTCCATTAGCTCTTTCAGAAATGGCAGATTTCATGGGACTTGCTCCCTTCCTGCTGTGACTCGCCCCATAATTAAGAGTGGATTAGTTTGGGGCCTCCTTGAGCGACAGACTTTTGGAATACTTTGCCTCACTGCGCCCAATCCTTCTGCAGATGGTACCACTGGCAGTATGATTGCAAAGTGTGCTTTGTGAGTGCAGATAAGATGAGTAAACTCGGAGTACACTTGATTGTTTTTCCTTGAGAAATGACACGACCTCAAAAGAAAGAATGAAGAGTAATCCTGCATCTGTTACTGCAATAAACTCTTCAGCCTGCCGCTGGTAGTTTCAGTTATTTTTTCAGTATGGTTTTAATTTTAGATAGTGAATTTGGGTTGCCATGGGCAGGAGTTGTCGCATAGCATAATACACGCTGGTTTGACAGCTCATTTTACTCTAAATCAAAGTACAACCAAAGGAAGACTTATCCAGTGTATGTGTCTGTGGGTATAGATTAGGAGGGACCGCGGGTCAAATTTGTCCGATTCTGTTCTTCTTAAGCAGAAAAAAATAGTTGGCGAATCAGGGTCACATAAATCCCCATTCAACGTAGATAGGCCAGCACGTCAGTTTCTTTTTTCTTTAGGTGCTGATCAAGCGTGAACCTCTGTTTCCATGAACCAGCGAAGCAAGCAACGACAGGATGAAGCTAAGTTGAATAGATAGTCTTTTACCCGATAAACTCCAATTTTTATGAAAATTTTCCCTTAAGTAGGTTCAATGTCAGAAAAAGCTTTTTTTTTCATTTTATAGATCAACATCACATACTTATTCTGTAACTGCTGGTTGCAGCACTTTACAAATCACAAATATGTGTACATGTACCTACACCCCTCAGTCATGGCATTCTAATTATTACATAGCTGACTACAGTGATGACCCTGCTCTGACTTGACGGAATGCATAGCTCTCAAAGTTGCAAAGAGAATTCAATTGAGACATACCATTTTAGTGACATGGGAATGAACACGATGTCTACCTTTCATCACATTCCTGTTATTGCTTTTAAGGCCAGTGCTCTCACTTGCAGATGCAGATGCTATGGGTTCTATAGTCAATAATCAATTAAAATGGAGGTCATGCTACTCCTTTTATGATCTGTATCTGTCTGATTCTGTATTTATTATTTTTCATGTATATTCATCCACTCTATTATTGCATTGCACATTGTCTCCCCTGTAATGTCTGATGTGATCTGTGTCATCATGCCAGTGCACTCCCCTGTCTGCGTGCAGACACGCTTCGGGTGATTTCGGAAGTTTTCCGGTATTTCACGAACTTCCTTCAAGTCTCGTTTTTACCTTCCTTCCTGCTTTTCTGAAATTATCATATTAATTAACCGCTAGGCTGCTTAGTTAGTACTGGTAATTTTACTGTATACTAATCTCTTTGTACAGTAACTAACTAACTAACAATCACATATTTTGATGAGGTGTGTGGATATCAGTGTTTACTAATATAACTAACTCTGCCCTGCTCTGCTCTGCTCTGTAACTCCGCCCCTGTTGCTTTCCCTGTAGTCTGCTTTGATTACAGCTTACGCACCTCAGGTGCGTTTCTCTCTCTGTCCTGGAAACTTAACTTTGCACATGTGACTCCTTGAATGGAGCTGTCATTTGAATGGAGCTGTTTTTTTTGCTGTCTGCGTGAATCCAGTCCGTGTTTTCGTTTACCCTCATCTTTGTTTGTAATTCCCCACTTGTGCTTTCCCTCGTGTTGATTGTATTAGCACGCCCCCACACCTGTTCCTTCTTAGAATGTAATCATTCCCTGTGTATATATAATCTCACTTTGCCATAGCTCCCTTGTCAGAACGTTGATCAATTTCTCCTGTGCCGATTTTGAGTAAGCCAGCTGATTTTGTAATACCTGAGACACCCTTTGGAAGACCTTGCTTTTTGCCTTTGACCCTCTGTACCTGTTTGCTGCCCGTTTTGGATTTCGACCCGTTTCTGATTGACCATTCTATTACCTGCTGCCCTGTTAACAAACTTTACTCACAAATTCTGACTTCTGTTTTTGGATTTGCCCTCTTGTACTTTCGCTACTCTGATTACCTGGACTTGACCAATGCCTGTCTTCTGGATTACGATTTTGAACTATGTCTCTGTACCTCTGCATTAGTTGATCGCTGGCTTTTTGACATTTGGACTGTAATAAACTTTGATTTTTGGATTATCCCTGAGTTGCGATTGGTTCCTCTGAGCGTATCGTTACAACTCCTGCACTTGACAGAATTGCCATCATTGAACTCTGAGCGATTCAAATTTCTCAGAATCCCCAATACAGTATTTTAAAGCGATGCAGTATCTGTACAAAATGATCTAATGTGATTGGAAATGATTCAATGCAAGAACGAATGCCAGCACACCACTGCAAACTGGATGCAGAAATGCCATCATGGCTCCCTCAGGCAGACATTAGAAAAGACAGAAAACCACAGCAGAAGGGCAGAAGGGCTCAGTCATCTGCAGTGCGTTTCAATAATAAGAAATGAAAGCTAATGAACTTCCCAGGAAATTGAGGACTGGATGGGGGCTGTGCTCCTGTAACTTTATAGGCCTTTGTGACCCTTTTATATGTGCTCATAGTCAGTAAAGTGATATTTGACCTTGAGGTTACAAAGAATCGTTGGATTTGGGTGCACTGACCATATAGTCATGTGCCCCACACAGGAAGGGCTTCCACTCAAATTACTGGTAAAGATGACCCTGCCGCAACCTAATATCAGCCTTCTCTTTCTCTGGTTCAGTTTTCTATGGGAGACCGTTTGACCTTTCTATTTTTATCCCTCTATGTTTGAGTTTTGAAAAGTAATAGATTTGAACAAACTGCCGGCGAAAACGGTTTTCTAAATTTCATTTACATGGAAGCTTTGACTGAATCTCAGTGGTAAAAAAACAAAAAACAAAAAACATTATTTTCTGAAAAGCAGAGTTTTGGTCCTGGCATCTGCAATGAAAATTTGGTTGATACAGAGCGGAGAGTGAAAAAAATAAAATAAATACCAGGGTCAGATTTGCGTAAGTCCTCCCCAAATCTCCTTAGCAAATCTGCTCCTTCTGAACTGAAGAGACGTCAAAACCACGAGGGGAAGCGTCTCGGGTTTCAATCTTCTGATTCGCCTCCTTAAACCAGCGCTGCCTGATGTGAGCCACAGAAATATGGGCAGAATTGAAAGTGCATTGATTTCTGAGATGA